TTCTTTTAGCTGAAAATCATTACCTCTTGTCCTGCTGCTACAGGCTCAGTTCAATTTGTCTGTCCACATCCTTTTTACAAGCTCCCTTTAAGTACTGGAAGGTGCAATAAGGTAAGGTCTCCCTAGAGCCTTCTCCAGGCTGAACAAGCCCAACAGTCATTCAGCCTCTACGCATAAGAGAACTGCTCCATCCCTCTAATCATCTTTGTGTCCTCCTCTGGACTCATTCCAACAGATCCATGTCCTTCCTGTGCTGGGGCCCCGGAGCTGGATGCAGCATCGCAGCTGGGGTCTCACCAGAGCACAGGGGCAGAATCCCCTCCCTCACCTGCTGCCCACCCTGCTTTGGATGCAGCTCAGGACAGGTTTGGCTTTATGGGCTGTGAGTGCACATGGCTGGGTCATGTCCAGCCTCTTGCCCACCAGCACCCCCAAGTCCTTCTCAGCAGGGCTGCTCTTGGTCTGTTCATCTCCCAGCCTGGAACGTTACTGGGGGTTGCTCTGACCCAGGTGCAGCACCTTGCACTTGGTCTTATTAAACCTCATGATGTTCCCATGGGCCCACTCCTTGAGCCTGTCCAGGTCCATCTGCATGGGATCCTGTCCTTCAGGTGTGTCAACAGCACCACTCAGCTTGATGTCATCAGCAAATATGCTGAGGCTGCACTCAATCCCTTTGTCTGTGTCATGAACAAAGATATTAAATAACACTGGTCCCAATATGGACCTCTGAGGAGCTCCACTTGTCACTGATGTCCACTGGGACTCTGAGCCATTGATCACCATCCTCTGGATGCAACCTTCCAACTGATTCCTAATCCACCCATTGAATCCATCCCTCTTCAATTTGGAGACAAGGATGTAGTGCAGGAACGTGTCAAAGGTTTTACAGAAGTCCAGAAAAACAACATCTGTAACCTTCCCCTTGTCCACTGATATAGTTACCCCATCACAGAAGGTAACTGGTCAGCCAGGACTTGCCCTTGATGAAGCTGTGCTGGTTGTCTCAAACCACCTCCCTGTCCTCCATGTGCCTCAGCGGAGTTTCTAGGAGGATCTGTTCCATGACCTTCCCAGGAACAGAGGTAAGGCTGACAGGTCAGTAGTTCCCAGCTTCCTTCTTTCTACCTTTTTTAATACAGGTACTTTATTTCCCTATTTTCGGTCACCTCAGACTTCTCCTGACTGCCATGACTTTTCAAATATCGTACAGAGTGGCTTGGCAACCACATCAGCACACTGACATGCATTCATCTTGGCACAGAACTTACTGACAGGTTGTGCAGTAGAGGTAACTCAAGTGGGTAATGGCCTTGTACATCCTCCTTGAAAGGGTTCATAGTGAAACAATTCACAATGTAAAGAAACCACCTGAGAAGTGAGGAGAGGTGAAAGCACCCAGCAAGCTGGTTGACCCTGAATTCACATTTCCAGAGACAAGGATGTGCCATCAGGCACTCTGCCTTGCTGTGAACCTCTGAAGCACTACTAGATAGTGGACATGGAATTTGATATCATTGAATTTGTGCATTTGTCAGTTTTTATTCGTGTCTTGCCCTCCGCGTGTCACTTCGGGAGGCTGGCAGACAATTAACATGCGCTGGTAGATGGCAAAGGAAGGAGAAGTGAGAGACTTCGTCTGCTAAAGGGCATCACACTATACCTGGCACAGAAACTACCAGGCCCTGAAGACAGACGTATCACATGCAGTTGACAGAAAAAACAAATACTCAAGACAAGAAACAACACCTGGCTATTTACTCTGAAAGAAAAGTGAATGAAGGGATCAACTACAGGAACCAGAGTTATTTATGCTGAGTTTTGGTCACTGTTCATTGGACTTAGAGTAGGGCTACAAACTGCAGGAGCAGGACTTGTTATTCCCGCTCTGTAATCAGAAATAAGCTATTGTCTTGATGCTTCACCACTGCAAAGTCAGTAGACATATTAACAGGGAAAGCAAGGGGAAATCATTTTCCCCATGGCCAGTTCATGTTTACAGATGGAGAAGTAACTGAATGTTGTGCTCTCCCCACTACAACCCCGGGACTACAACACTGGGCCACAATTGTATGAGATGCACAGAACAGACCTCTTGAATGCACAGAAGGGGCCTCTTGAACAAATTTAAAGTCTCTACTAAGAAAAAAGAGCTGGTAATTTACAGCAGGGCACCCAAAGCAACACATGAATCTACTGAACAGAAAAAAAGGTATCAGCCAGCATTCAGAAACCAACCCCTGCACCCCTTGGAAATGCCACCTGGGCATTCAGTAAGATAAACACAAACACATCTATCAGGTCTGCCTGAAATAAGAAAAAAAAACCTGAACTGAATTTCAGGCACTAATAAGCTCCACAATTGGGAAAAGAATTATATCCTGAATGCATATACATAACTAAGGGAATAAAAGAAGCTACAAAATGATTACTGAAACTGCTTTTTAGACTTTATATACTTTATTCTTCGTCATTTCCTGAAATAGTAAGGAGGAAAAAAACCCCCACAGGCCTCTTGTGTTCAGTGTTTTTTGTTTGCCATAAGCTTGTCTTCTATCTAAGTCTCAGAGTGTCTCTGTTCAAGAAGCTTGAGCAGAAGATGCAGATTACAGACAGTATCTTCTGAGACTTCATGGCATCAGCCTTTGGTAATTCAGACGCCTATCAGGACACCTATCCTAAGTTCATGTGGTCCTTCATTTGAATTTGGAAAACACTGAGAAGCCCGTGCATGGAAGGTCTAAGAGGTTTTTTCATTCAGGAATCCTGCCTCAGCAAAGTCCAAGTGATTGCATATAGGTCCCATAACTCTAAATCTATCAGAAAAAGGATGCACTTTTAAGAAACTCAAATATTTAATTTACAGCTGCTCAACTGTGAGCAATCCAGAACCCAGTGGAGAAGAATAAAGATATTTCATATGCACAATCATACCCTAGGAGAGTTTTTAAGGATAAAAAGTTACCCAACATCACTAAACAAATTATAATCCTAACTAAAAATGTGCAATTGATGGAAAGCTCCATATTCTCATCAGTCTTTATAGTGACTACCTCTGCCAAGTGACTAAACCCAATCCTCCTCCTTTATGACAAGAGTGTATTTTTGTTTTGTTATTAAGAATAGTGAATCCTTCTGGCACTGCACAGCCAGGGGCAATTTATAAATTACATGCTAAAAGCGCTCAGTGCCACAGTCAAGCTCTGATTAAAATAACAGCCACAGTTTATATTTTTCTGTTGCATTAACTTTAATTAAGTGCAACTCCAGTGCAGCAAACCCTACTTAAGTCAACCCCGGTGTTTTTAGATTTACTCCCAACTTCAGCACATGAGAATCAGCAAAGGGAATTTTTTCTTTATTAGGTCGCTCACTCAGGAGATGAGAGAGAGGAAATCTCATAATTAGAGTGTGGAGTTTAACGCTCTACTTGCTCGAATGTGGACACAAAGCAAACAGAGTACAACTATTACAGTGTTCATAGCTCACACACCACCTTTCACAGAGCTGCAGTGACTTCTATTTGCTCAGTGACAGACGAGGTCCGTCTGCAACGTTAAGTCTGGCTGTGGAAGCACACCCTTGGTTGCAGCATGCACAGAGGGAATAACAATACTGCTGAATCCCCCTCCAGCTCCACGATTGTTTGGTCCCAAACAATTTTCTGCAAGGTTGCGTTAACAACCCACTTGTCCATTTATCTTCGCCACAGCTGCGCTGGAGCTGCAAAAGCTACAGAACACAGCGAAATCACTGCAGCTCCATAAAACAGGCAGTCATCTTGCTAGAGTAAGCAAGATTTTTGGGAGCTTGCGTTTCAGCAGGAGTTTGTCTCCTGTAAGCTGCTCCGCGACCAGTGCTGGCTGCTGACTGGCTGAGGAGATGGAACACACATGGAGAAAGTAGGCAGAGAGGTTCTATTTTGGGCTCATTGCTGTTAAAAGGTTGCTTTGTTTTTACAGTTAGGCCTTGCTGCTTAAGAGCTACTGCACGAGAGCCTCCTGCTGTGTAACTATGAACATCTGAAATGGAAAAAAACCAACCCCCTGTCCCTTGCTGGTCAGAGCACTGTGTGGCCCTGGCAGAAAAAAGGGAAATCGAGGCAAAGAACCAACCACAGTAACGGGTACACTTTCAGGTTTAAGAGCTGCTTGATCTGTGCATTCCTTGCAAAGCCTGGTTCATTTCTGTAGCACTAAATAACCTGCAAAGGACCAGTCTGGGATTTTGTAGTAATTAAACTGGAACTTCACACATGAATTTGACTGAGGTGGAGAGAATATCACCTAAGTATCATCTCCTCTATTTATTAATCCCTCTGGACACCGTTTTAATATTCGCCTAAAATGTTTCAAAGCATCACTTTAAGAGCCTGAGGAGCTTTTAGTTTTTGCAGAACGTATATACAGATAGATAAAGAAGAAAAGCCATTTGAACATTGCGGTTTTAGAGTGAAGAATTACCAAGTCAATGAGCAAAAGGTAAGTCTGAAAATCTGAAATTCTTTTTTTAATGTTCAGAACATTTCTGGCTACTCTTTCAAATATCTGGAGTTTAGTTTTATAACAACTTCTAAAAGTCATCAGCACAGAACTGTATGTAAAACCAGACCGTGTAAGACTGAGCATAAATGAAAAAAAGGACTTTTAGCAGCCAGTTCTGGCAGGCACTGACAGCCATCACTTAGAAATGCTAATGCCCATCCATTAACTTCCCACCTGCAGGACAAGCGAAAAGATCCAACCCCACTGCTCCTCTCCATCCAGCAAAGGGACATAAATGGCTCTGCAGAGATCAGACAGGTGCTTTGTGCAGTGACTGCCACACTTTGAGATGACAACAGCTCGTCCCTGAGCACCGCCCTCACTCACAGTTGACTCTGCACAATTCTGACCCCGCTCCAAACTACCTCCTGAAGTTCTCCTTGGCAGTCCACACACCATGGGGGGAGGTGGAGCGATTATCAGAGGGAAAAGGAAACCACGGGAGGCGGCACTCACCGTGTTGCATTTCGTCCCGCACACCACTTGCCGGTGGTTCAGCCACTGGGAGGCAAACACTTTATTGAGGGTTCCCAGGTGGAATTCTCTCTCCTTCAGGAGGCTGGGGAGCTGCTGGGCTGCGTATCCGTGCAACAGGCGGTGGTAGCTGGACTCATTCTGCATCCGGAGCTCCCTCCCTTTCAGGTAGTACACCAGGGACCTCTTCACCGGGGGGAGCCTCTTCCTTTTGTGCACCGAGTGATCCCACACATACTGCGGAAAATAAAGATGGAAACTGGATAAAGCGACTGGAACAAACTTTAGGCACCGCCCTCCGAAATTCAACGATATTCCCGGCGGAAAACCTGCAGCCTTCCAAACCACCCACGGAACACCCTGCGCGGTGATGAGCCCCGGAACGCCGAAAGGGCCCTTAGTAGCGTGGAATTAAACATATAAACATTTGCCAAGGGAGCAGTAACGCTGCGATGGCAGTAACGACAGCCCGCGGCCGTTCGGCACGTTCGGCACCGTTCGGGCGCCGTTTGCTCGTGGAAACGGGAAGGGCGCCCGGAACGGGAGAGAGGCGGGTTTAGAAGTCGGAGCCCGGGAGGTTCGGGGGTCCCACGCCGGGGGTGACACCAACCGCGGGGCCCAGCGGCCTCCTGCGGCCGGGCCAGAGCTGCCCGGGCACCATCGCTCCGCCGGGCCGGGGCACCGCGAACGGCCGAGCCCAACGGGGCCCCGCGAGCCCGGCGGGGAGCGAGGGGGTTACCCCGGGACGGGGGCTGTGCTGCCCGGCTTAAATCAGGGCCCGGGGCTGCTCCTCCCCCGGTGACAGCGGGACCCGGGGCTGCCCCTCTCGGGCGACACCGCGGATGACACTGGGACCCGAGGCTGCCCCTCCCCCGGGCCCACCCCGGACATCTCCCCATGTGACACTGGGACCGGGGCTGCCATCCCTCATCACCCCTTGCCCCACTCCCGGCACCCTCCCCAAGTGGCACCCGCCCACCCCCCAGCACCAGGACACCACCGCCCCCGGACAGGGTCATCCCTCCCTCCCTCCCTCTCTCACTCCCTCTTTTCCCCCCATGGCGGGGACCGGGCCATATCCCCTTCACCCCGCCGGGAACAAGCGCTTCTCCCGCCCCGCCCGCCCCTCCCCTCCCTCCTCACCTGCTCCCCCTGGAGCCCCCCAGGCCCCGCGGCGGCCGGCGCCGCCGCTTTCCGCTTCCTGCTAACTGTTTTCCGAGCCATAGCAGAAGGACGATGCTGCGGCAGCGGCTGCGGGCGAGGAGCGGCCCCACATGGAGCGGATCGGGGCGGTTCGGGGCATAGGGAGCGGGACCGGCCGGGCTCTGTCCCTCAGGCCCCGCCGCCCGCGCCGCACGGCATTTTACGGCACACCCAGGGTTTTTTTGGCTCCTGTTTTTACGACAGTCTCGTCGCGGCTTTGCGGCGGCGGCCCTGCCACGCCCGCAGCGGCGTTGCCCGGCAACCCCCGGCTGCCGGGCTGGCCACGCCCCCTCGCCGTTGCCATGGCAGCGCCGCCCGCCCGCGGAGGGGTGGCGCCCCCTGGCGGCGGGGCGGGCTCAGCGCGGGGGGGTGGGGTTGGGATTCCCTCTGGGAAAGGGGAGAGCTTTCCCAAAACCTCAGAAAAGCGTCCCGTAACGGGGAAAGGGTCACAGAATCACAGAACGATTTAGGATGGAATCACTGAGATCACTGAGTCCAACCTGTGACCGATCCACCACCACGGCAACTGGACCACAGCACCGAATGTCATGTCCAGCCTTTCCTTAAACATCTCCAGGGACGGTAGCTCCACCACCTCCCTGGGCAGCCCATTCCAGTATCTAATCAGCCTTTCTGTGAGAAAATTTCTCCTCATGTCCAACCCTCCACTGAACCATCCACTGGATCGGAGGGTGGTTCGGCTGACTTGTTCAGGGTGACATACAAACACAGAGACCTGCTCGAGGGTCTCCACACCTTTAACTGGTCTGTCGGGACCCCACGGAAGATCCAGGGGCACACACATGCCAACAACATAAGAGACACCCTCTCCCAGGTCTCCACAGCCAAGTGTGTTACCCCCTGCCCTCCACTCAGGAGGACTCCACCGTTGGGGGACTCATACCAACAGTTTGTGCAATAACACTCTTTATTAATATAATAGAAAATTGGGACAGATTAAGGTTCAAAAATTGCTGGTGATAGTATCTGGCTGGAAAAACGTATCCAAAGCATTCTACAGATAAGGTCTGATCATTAAAAAGTCTGGCTTGAGACGATCAATCACCTCACACAGAGTCTGTTCCTTACCTAACAGGCCCTACGGGGGAGAAGGTAGGTTCAGCCTGTCAACTGATTCCAGAAGTTAGGATGGAGTCTTCCCTAACTTCTCCCCATTTTTAATTTACATTTATGCTCTTTTTGCGTTCAGGTGGAGCTTGAGTGACTGCAGTCACACATCCTGTTCAGTGGGTGTTGGTCATACCTTGGAGGTGGGTGACCTGTGTTACACCTCAGCAACCTTCGGGACGGAGGTGGGTGTCAGTATCACATCTGTGATCTTGCCACGATTGTTGCTTCAGCAGCAAGGCATCTTCTGTTTTTCTCCCTTGATTGACAGCTGCTGTGTGGCTTTGCAGCTACAAAGTGCCACTGAGTGTCTCTGCTCTGCTCCACTCTCCCTTTAGTCCCCTTCAGCGTGGATTGTGTGTGGGAAGCTGAGCTTGCTGACCGCATTCCATCCAGGGAGAAGCAGCTGCATTTCGCCCTGTCATTTCCGTGCTGTCACAAATTCTGTTAAAATGTGAATGTAACTTCCCGGTTTTCTGTAGTTTTACGCACAGTCATTTTTCCATACCATTCCATCTGGGAAATCCCTCATTTCTGGGGAATTAAAGGGATACAGCATATTCGCTTTTCGTTACACCCCCATGTGGATGGATGAGTGGTTTTTCTGATGTTCACACAGCTCACATGCACTTTTTTCTATGATTATAGAGGCAAAACTGTGGATGATCCAAACCCAGTGATTGCCACTTGCCAGTGGCATTGCAGAGGAGGGAAACCTAATGGTGCCTCAAGTCACACGGAATCGGTAAACGTTTTCCTAATATGACACTGTTTTTATGACTTTTTTGTGTTTTCCTCTAACCAACCCCAAAGACAAGGGTGCTGTGAGAAGCCAGAGTGAAAAATAAACTACAAAAGAATCTCTCAGACTTCCCAGTTTCCCCTGAGGATACAAAGGATAATTCTAGTTTGGCAGTTTTCAGTCTTAATTTCTCACGATTAACTCCCTTCTCCATATTCTCCCTCACATGCATAACTGCCACCCCTGTTTGGGACAAAACCTCTCCCTTTTGCAACAAGAACCACTCAAAAGGCCGAAAACCCATTGGCAGTGTCCCCTCAGCACCTTGTGAAGTGGTGAGGGAGGTGGTGGGGTGGCTGTGGCTGCTGAGGGAAGGGGCTGAGGGGTAAAACGGCCTCCCTGGGCCTTGCTTGCCACCTTCATCCAGCCCCTTAGGGACCCTCTTACGGACCCCATATGGGAGAGGGGCAGGAGGTTGGAGGAGCTCCTGGGTAGGGCAGGACAGGGGGACAGGCCGGCTACCGGTGCAGGAACAGGGGCAAGGCCAGGGAATGGGATAGGGGTAGGGAATGACATAGGGAATGGTGACACGACAGGGAATGGCACAGGTAATGGAATGAGGCAGGGAATGACACAGGGAATGGTGACACGACAGGGAAGAGGACACGGGCACTCCCTGGCCACGCCACGCCCACCGCACAAAGGGGCGTGGCTTCCCTTGCGCCCCGCCCCCTCTCAGCCGGGAATGACGTCACATCAGGCCGCCTCCGATTGGCCCGGCGGAGCGCGTGACGTCGCGGCGTGACGCCATCCCGCCGGCGGGGCCCAGACAAGATGGCGTCGCCCGGGTCCGGCGGCGCCGAGCGGGGCCCGTAGGAGCGGGATAGCGGGAGAGCCGCGGGACAGCGGGGCACGGCGGGCCGGGGGCCGCAGGTACCGGGCGGGACAGCGGGGCACGGCGGGCCGGGGGCCGCAGGTACCGGGCGGGACAGCGGGGCACGGCGGGCCGGGGGCCGCAGGTGCCGGGCGGGACAGCGGGGAGGGGCAGGCGGTGCTGGCGGTGCCTGTCTCCTCGCAGCGGGCCCGGGGGCCGGGGCTGGACCGCGCCCCTTCTCCCCGTGCTCCGGGACCGTCCGCCCCCGCCCGGCTCGGCGGGGCAGAGGCAGGCCGGGCCCGGGGGTGCCGCTCCGGCTTTCCAGCAGTTTCCGGGATTGTCGGAGTCCGGGGAATGTCTCTCTGCTTAATAACCCCTGGTGGGTTCGCTCTCGCTGAGTTTGCCGTCTGCTGTTGAAATCCGAGTAAGCGTTTGGTGTCCGTGGCGTCGGGAGGTGCCCCCTCCCTGTAACTTAAGCCCGCGAAGAGCCAAAACATCTGATTTTTATTCGGGGCTGTGGTGCGTGTCGAGGCTGCCTCCAGGTACCTCGTTAGTTTCTATCGCTGGAGCGCTGTGGGTCTTCATAGCACATCTTCCCTGTGCCACTTCGGACTTCTGCTGAGCCACTGCTAAATCACAGAGTGATCACTCTTTGGCTGCATCTCCTTGTAGGATGAGGAGCCAGCTGTCTTCACTTCACGGGTCGTAGCCCTACGCTTCCTTCTCTGTGCTCCTCACCTGTTTCTGGGTCTTTTCTGCTGTTCTGCTTTTGAACGTGTCTCTCTCTCTGCGTTTGAGATGCAGACATCCCATGGTCATATGCGTAGGTGTAAGAATACTTCAGTTTTGTAGTTTCTGACTTCCTGATAGTGCTTTGTGTTCTCTTTAGCTCAGTGCTCACCAGAAATAAAACATTTAACGCTTCTATGAAGCTATTTTGTGTAATTCAAGGGCTGTCTCTCCCTGTGTTTTGATAGCTCAAAGTTTATAAATTTTAAAGGAAAAGTTAGGTTTGCTTTGGGATTTTCTTTATTTAGTAAAAAAAATTACAATAGTTGGAAATAAGTAATCACCTTATCAACTGTTTTTACTCTGCACACCATCAGAAATTCCAAACAAGTGAAAAAAAAACCTCAGTCTTACAGAAGTCTTATGACGTGTCCTCTGTCTCATGAGAATGGAGATAACCAGGTGGACTCTGGCACTTGGCTGTGTAACTAGCACTGCTGCCATCCTGCACTCGGTGCAGTGTTTTTGTGTTGGATTTAAGCACACTGAGGTGGATATTGCTAAATGGCAAGGGAGTGTTGGCAGGATAAGGGGCTGGGCAGCGAGCGGTGAAGTCTCTTCAGCGGCTGTGCTCCCGATGGAAGGAAGGCATTCTGCATCCCACAGCCTGTCACGGGGTTAAGAGGCTTCTGTGGGAGCTTGGTGAGGGGAATCTAACTCCAGCTGTGGCCCAGGGTGTTAAGGAAAAAGAGGAAGTGCTGCAGTTGTCCAGACCTCTTCCACACCTTCCTTCCCTTACCAACGTTGGAGCATTTCTGCAACTCCTGCAGCTGCTGGTTTCCTGGCGTTTTTCAGGGGAGAGGAGGGGGGAAAAAAACTGTTGTGGCCTCCTGCTTGCCTTTTCTCCGTAGGGAGCAGCGATCTGTGTGCAGCTCTGTCGTAGCCAGGGCAGTGGGATGGGCTGAGCTGTCCCCGGTGGCAGCAGCAGGGCCGTGTGCGAGGCTGGGAGTGGGGTGGTGTTGGGTTGCGGCACTGAGCAGAGCTGCCGCTTAATGACCTCAGTTTCCTGTGCTCGCAGAGCTGCGATTCAAAAGGGGCAGTGCTGCTTTAGGGTGACTTAAACCTTTCAGGCAACAACCTTAATTCTAAGGGAAGGGGGACAGAAAGCATGCAATTTTTAAACAGCTTTTGCAACTTGTGGGTTTAGTCTCAGAAACAAAACTGAAAGTGGTTGCCCTTTCCTTTCTTCACTGGCTGTGTGTGTGGCCTGCACTGTTTGATACCTCCTTTTGTTTTGTTTTTTTTCTCCTGTTTGTGGAGTCAGGGGAGAAGCTGCAGCTACTGAGGTCAGATACTGCATAAGTCAAGTGCGAGCTGAAACAAAGGCACATGAAACTTCAAAAGGAAAACCAGGGAAATCTCAGGTGTAAGATATGTGAATCAGTAAGCATTAGTTTCTCTTCAATGAGTAGAATTTAATTTTCAGAATATTCGAAGAGTATACTGATCGTCTGAGAGACTTACTGTGTGGTCTGTGTTGATGGATAGAAAAATCATAAGGGTGAAAAGTCGTCACAGACACGTGGAATACCTCCATCTCCATTTCTCACGTGATGTTTTGTAGTGCCCATTGCTTGTTATCCCTAGAGATAAAAACCTGTAACTA